CTGCTTTTTCATCATATATATAGTTGACGCTTTTCGTTTGGCGGTCGGATATCGTTAACTGTTATCAAAATATGTGACAGTGATCAATATTCCCATTTCAACTTTAGGAAATGTTAAATGTATATCATTTCCGTTCAAACACACGGGTTTGGATTGTATCGTGGTCGAGTCGAGTTCATTTAAGTAGACATTTTTCTTTTTTCATTTTACTTTTCCCTACTTCTATTCCTGGTAGAAGGGTTTGCGGTCAGTCCAACATCAAATAACCTATTACTTATAAACTATTACTGACAGGGACAGCGAAACATTTATAGCAGAAACCTAGAAAAGTGCTACAGCTGAAATACAAGCAGACCAACTCGCCAGTCACCTTGTTGACTATTGATTCATTTCATCTAGAAATGCAATGTTAAAATAGTAACCCCTGTTTTTAAACATAAATTCATGCAAAAGCGGAAATCTAACCTGAAGAACAGTTGGCGTCGGTTATCAGACAGGAGAGCACCAAAAACACAAAATAGAATGAAACGGTAAGCATGATCTTCAATTTAAAAGTCGAGAAGAGTCTAGAAGATGTTATGTTTCTGCAAGACGATCTGTTATGACTTGTGAAGCATGCTCAAGTTAGGTTTAAGTTGTTCCTGTTTATGAATGCTTTCAATTAAGTGGTTGTCAAGAAACACTGACCCGCCTTCTCTTCATTTGGCAGTGATTAAAAATAAAAGGAAATTGATCTATTTAATTGTAAGCAGGTGACTTCGTGGAAAATTAAACAGTTCGTGAATAGGAAAGGCAAGCCGTTGTATAATTAGTTTCCTATGATGAATTTCTTTTTACACAAAACGCTCAACGTTTGTAACTTTCGTCCTAAATGGTTTTGGTAAAACCTCTGTATCAGTTTTTTTTGTGTTTGGTGGGAAAGGGGCGGGGGGATGGATTAAAGATCGCGTATATGAACTAACATGTCGTCTGATCAAATTTTTCGTTGATTATTTGGTTCCATATTTGTGGACAATGAGAGAAAATCAAATGCAAAAGTATCATCTAGTCCTATGTTCCAAGCAAACGAAATAACATCAAGCGGGAATCTATGTAATAGGGCATTAAGCTTTTACAAGTCAGTTTTTATGAGCCTTGTTTAATACCCGGCTGTAATTATACAATTTTTTCCGCAAAATCGGAATTGCTGCTGCGCGACAACATTCTCTATATCGGAGTCTAGGATTAATTGCAACTGGAATCAATTTTGTTAGGTGTCTTCTTTTTGCCTTGAAAAAGGCCCAGAAATTTTGGTCGTTTTATGGGGGTGGTAATTTTGCGGAGCTCGAATGTATAGAAATGGAAGTTAAGGTAAGAAAAAACCCTTAGGCGTTTAAAAATTTAACTACAAGGTTAAGTCGTCATCATTTATATGAAAGATAATGTGCAGAGCAGCTGACTTGGGAGACTTGTGAAAAAAGCGTTCAATTTAGATAAGAATATATATTTAGCTCATTGAGTTGGAGAGCGTAATTCTGGTTCAAGTTGTGGGAAATGAAAGTCACTTTTTTAATGTTCAGTTTCACCCAATTTGCTAAGCTTTAAAAGTTCCTGTTTAGCGGTTGTCAAGGTAGGAACGAAAATATGGTAGAAAATAAATTAAATTTGTTGACAAACCGGTGGTGTCGCTGACTTCTTGTTTGCATATAGTTGGAACAACATCAAACCAGTAACATGGGAGGACTAACATTTACTTTATTTATTATACATTGAACTCGCTATCTCTTTTCTGCTTGGTCGAAAGCGTACAGTGAGCTTTCGAAATCAGCGCCTGAGATGTCACCCAGCTGCAGATTATACAATAATCATGTCAGGGACACTCAGGGTCACGGTTAGCCATGTCATGTGTGACCGCGGTCCATTATTTCTAAGGGTAATCATGTCAAGTTCGGGCGCTTTGTGTTGCTTGTCGTCGGTGAAGAAGCAAAAACCTGACTTCCATTTATTTATCGCAATCAGGAGTTTCAAACGTAATTACCTTATTTTCTGCAAAATAAATTGTTTTTATGCGAGCACCATTTTCTCTCCGAGTCAAGGGAGAACTGCAAGTGAGCGCAATATTATTTGGTCGCTCTTTGTTTTTCCGCTCGAACGAGATGCATGGTCGACATATTATCAGAGTGGTAATTTCATTTATGCAGGGTTTAAATGTGTACAAATGGAGAAGTCAAATGAAACCCTACATTAGGTGTATGAAATTTAACTAAAAAGTCAAGTCGTGAGCAGTTATTTGGAATATGATGGGGAGAGCAGCTAACTTGCGAGACAAGTGAAAAATATATGAAAGTTGCAAAAAATAATAATGTTTTATGGAAGTTAAGGCGAATTTGCTTTATCAAAGCTTCTGTTTTGCGGTTGTCGTGGTGAAAAATGGGAAACGTCGAAGAAAATCAATTTCATGATAAACAGGTGGGGCCACTGACGTGCTGTGTGCATTTGGTTGGAACAACATCAAAACGAAAACATTAGAAGGGCAACGTTTATTTTATAAATAAAGCTACTGAGCAGAAACAGACTTATTCTCATACAACAGCCAACTACAGGGCATTTCTACCTTCCTGTTTAGATAGGTGGGGCTCAAATGCACATAAATGAAAAGGCCAAAAAAAAAAATCCTAAAACAAACAACAACAAAAAAATCAACCTTAGGTACTTAAAATGTAAATAATCTAGCTAAAATCGCGGCATCTTAAAGGAGCGCAAAATGGTTGGTTGTTGACTGTCGAGTTTCATTCTAATAAATCTTTGTCTGTTGACCTCCTCGATTTCAGTTTCTAATGCTGTCATCGATCTCTGGAAAAAGGGTTGGCCTTACAAAGTTATATGAGCATAGAATGTAACTATAAACAGAACAGTTGGCCTCGGTCATCAGAAAAGAGAGCAAGAAGAAAACATGATAGAATGAAACAGTAGCGCGAGAAGGGTGGAAATGATGTTGTGCAGAATGAAAAGAAGTCGTCAGCACTTTGCTAATCTGCTAATGTTAAGTTTCTTTCGCTTTTTGGTTGTGATGGTAAGACAGAAACAAAAAATAGCAGAAAATCAACTTCTTTCCATGCAGGTGGTGCCGTTCACGTCCTCTGCGTGCGTTTGATTAATTGTTTATTTGGTTAAGTCGAGGAACATCGGAAGGACAAAATTTACTTGACAAATAAGGCAACTTGCAAAAGCAGACTTAAATGCATCCTCCTGCCACAGGATATTGAAGAAAATTTGCACTTTAATCCTTAGAAATATGAATATTTTTTGTTATTTGTTGCCGCGAAAAATACGAGCTTTTCAAAAAGACAACTCTTTATCTGGGCTTGCATATCGCTTCACCTGTGCGAACCACAAAACCTGAGTCTTTCCGTAAGATTAAAAAAAAAAAAAGAATGCTTGGGAGAACTTCTTTTTTTTTTAATGACATGGCGTACTTGCCGGAAATTGTATACGGAACCCTTGTAAGGTGACAGAATAATATTTTGTGGCCTTGTCTAAACTCATTTCACCTGTAAAGCCTGCCAATACTAAATAAACCAGCAAATGAATTGACACTGACACTGAAAATTTTTAATGGCGATAAAAACGATTGTATCAAACATCATATGCATGTTAAAATGAACATTATGCCGAAAACCGAAAGCATAATGTTATTTTATCGCGAGGCATTTGTTATGTCTTATCAGATTGCGGGTTGTGTTCTAGTCTGTCAACAATGGAAATCTCCTGACCAATGAAAAATAGGCGCGTGTCCTAGTTAAGCACAAAAGGTTGGTTATCTCTTACACGCGGTCCCCTTCTACTATTGCCATCATAGCAAGAGGAACTTTTCAGCTATTCAGCGGTAAGACGTATTTGTTCTTTTTCCCTCCCCATCCCCAGTCACCGACCGCGCACTGTCAACATATCTTATGTAGTATTTTATTTTAAGTTTTACTAGTGGCGAAAGTTTTAACCCCACCTTTCCGGAAGAGATTTTAATCTTTGTTTGTAACCTTTGTTTCAATTAAACTTGTCACATTTGTGGCCATTTATCCCAAACGATTTGTTTTTATTGTCTTCTATACCTATCTCTTCTATGTAGGGGACTGCTGCGCAGGGCGAAGTATGGCAGGGGACTTGCTCTCCTGGGCCGTTACGGTAGCCATGAAGGCCTGCCCAAAACCCTGAAACGCCTGCCTAACGGGGCGCTAGTGAAGCTTGGAGGGCCAATCACCCACCAAGCGAATAGACGAGATTACAGAAACCATAGGAAGTAGGCACACATTTACATCAGTCTTGGGTCAAGAGAGCGTCTCCTCGAAGACTCGCATAACGCACCAGGGTAAAAGCCGGAAGGAAGCTACGAGGCCGACTCCACTCTTTAACCCCAAGACAACATCTTCGTTCGGTACATGGAATGTTAGAGCTATGTACGAGGCAGGAAAGGCTGCACAGATCGCTGCCGAGATGACCACATACAAGCTCTGAGTCCTAGGCATGTGTAAGACCAGATGGATCGAGTCTGGGTGGATAAGGCTGTCAACTGGACAGACCGTCCTTTACTCAGGCCATGACCATTTCAAAGTTCCGAATACAGAGGGAGTAGGTTTTATACTGACCCCACAAGCGGCCAAATCACTCATAGGCTGGAATCCAGTATCATCCAGAATCATTACGGTCAGATTCCACACCAAGATCGAAAAAGCCACCTTCATCCAGTGCTATGCACCTACAAACCAAACGAAGCTGACAAAGATGCAAAAGCTGCTTTGTATGAGAGGTTACCGGGTGTCATAGATGGAGTAGCCAGGAAAGATCTGCCACTGTTGCTAGGAGATCTTAACGCCAAACTGGGGAGTGATAACACCAGTTTTGAAACAGTTATGGGAAAATATGGTATTGGGAAAATAAACGAGAATGGAGAGCTGTTTGCTGACTTCTGTTCCTTTAACAAGCTAGTCGTTGGAGGTAGTATTTTTCCCCACAAGAAGGTACATAAGACAACATGGGTTTCTCCCGACATTAAAACTGATAACCAGATTGACTCCATCTGTATAGCATCAAAGTTCAGAAGGTCTTTGTTGGATGTCAGAGTAAAGATAGGGGCAGATGTGGCTTCTGACCACCACGTTCTTGTGGGCAGATGTCGCCTGAAGCTGAAATACTATCATATGACTTGCTCACAGAAGACAAGCCACAAGTACAACATCGAGATGCTAAAGGATGGGGAAACAAAGAACTGGTTCCAGCTTACCTTGTCCAATAAGTACCAAGCACTCGCAAGTCTCCGAGAAAGCGAGCAGCATCCAAGGGAAGAGGAGAGCAATACAGTAGTCAACCAAGTGTGGCAGAGAATGAAAAAAGCTTGGAGGGAGACTTGCGAGGATACATTGGGAAGGAAGTCTAAACAGCATAAGGCCCATGTCAGCACAGATACTCTGAAGAAGTGAGAAGCTAGAAAGGAGGAGAAGGATGTGTTGAACCGGACGTAGGAGAATAAGAGCCAAGACAGCGGAAGCCAGGACCAGATACAAACGACGGCGGGATGAGCAGGTTGGGTTTCGGAAGGAAATGTCATGTACAGATCACATTGCTACCTTTAAAATCATCCTGGAGCAGTCGCACTAGTGAAACTCTTCCCTTTACACGACCTTCGTCGACTTCGAGAAGGCATTCGAAAGTGTCGACAGGGAAGTGTTGTGGAAACTATTTCGTCACTACCGCATCCCTGAAAAGAACATCACCCTTATACAGAAGACCTACGACAACTGCACCTGCAGAGTCATCCACAATGGAGTCCTTTCAGAACTGATTGAGATGCTCACCGGAGTACGCCAGGGATGTCACGGTTGTCGCCCTTTCTGTTCTTGCTGGTCATTGACTGGATAATGAGACAGACGACAGAGAAACATCCCGATGGCATACAGTGGACCCTCATGACTAGAAGATTTACACTTTGCTGACGATGCCGCTTTGCTCTCACACAATCACCAGGAGATGCAATCCAAGCTAACACAGATGGGAATGATCTCAGCGAATGCGGGTCTTAGGATCAACAAATCGAAGATAAAGGGGATGAGGATTAACACCACAAATGCAGACAGCCAGGCAGACAAGTTGGGAGGTAAAATGAAATCCGTTATTAGGCTTACAAAATATAAATAAAATATTAAGTCGTGAGCATTTATTTGGAATATAATGTGGAGAGCAGCTATCGTGTGAAACCAGTGAAAAATGTATGAAATTTACACACAATAAGATTGGTGTTTTATGGAAGTTAAGGCGAATTTGCTTGACGAAAGTTCCTGTTTTGTTGTTGTCAGAGTAGAAAAAAGAAAACATCGAAGAAGATCAATTTCTTTACAAACAGGTGGGGCCACTGACGTCCTATTTGCATTTAGTTGGAACAACATCAAAACGAGTCACAAGGACAACATTTATTTTATAAATAAAACTACTGAATAAAAACAGACTTATTCTCATACAACAGGTAAATGCAGGACATTCCCATTCCCACATTATGCGGGGCTCAAATGTGTACAAATGGAGAAGTCTAATGAAACCCTACATTAGGCTATGAAATTTAATTAAAATGTCAAGTAGTGAACATTTCTTTGGAATATAATGTGGAGAGCAGCTAACTTGCGAGACAAGTAAAAAATATATGAAAGTTGCCAAAAATAATCGTGTTTTATGAAAATTAAGGTAAATGTTCCTTACCAAAGTTTCTGTTTTGCAGTTGTTATGGTGAAAAAAGGAAAAAGTCGAAGAAAATCAATATTTTGACAAACAGGTAGGGTCACTGACGTCCTGTTTGCATTTATTTGGAACAACATCAAAACGAGAACATCGGAAGGACATTTATTTTATAAATAAAGCTACTGAGCAGAAACAGACTTATTCTCATACAACAGGCAACTGCAAGACATTCCCACCTTCCGGTTAAGATAGGTGGGGCTCAATTTCAGATAAACGAAAAAGTAAAATAAAAT